TGGATAACTAGAGTCTCCTTTTAAGTGTTTACTATGTGTTACTATTACTAATACTATTTATTATATATTTATTTTGTGGCAATGACAGCTTGGAACATTAATATCTCTTAATGATATTGGCAAGATTTGGCTATACTTTTTTATCTATTTAGGGGAAATTAGTCTTGGCTTCCAAGTTCTAAAAGAAAACATATGAAACTGCTTCCATGAAAAAAAAATGACATTACATCTATGTAATTCCCATTGAATCACATAAAATAAACAAGCCCACTTTTATTCCAACAAACAATAAACAAATCAAACCAAAACATAAAAAAGCCTTCATACATTCACATGCTATATGCTGTTTTTTATCTATTTATCTGATGGAGGTAGATAAAAATTCATATTTTAACCTTTTAGGTTCAGTCTCTGCTTATAAAGCACCTTTTCCAGTCAGAGAACTCCAAAGCATTTTATTCAGCATTCACACACTAATGTCAGTAAGTTAGCCATAGCTGCCCTGGGGCACACTAACAGAAGCGAGGCTTCCATACAAAGTCAACACTGGTTCTTCTGCCCACCATCCATAGGCAATGCCGGTAGAGTGTGGTGCCGAAGTTCAGAGCTGGAGTTTGAAGCGAATTCATCCCTGCCACTGTCACCCCAAGTTTGCCACTGGGCTCTCTGTACTATAGGTCAGAATGTAGCATATTTTCCATATTTTGAAAAGAGGATGTGAGGAGTATCAGACTGTACTCGCTGTGTGGGTCTAACAACAGACTCCTAGACTGCAGGAAGGAATAATCATCTTCCTTAAGACCCTTATTGCAGTCTTGATAATGCTTACCAAAGAGATATTACATCCCTTATCTGATAATGCTTTCCTTTACATCTGAATAAACAGAAACCTTATCTTTGAGTTGTATTCTTTAAGTACAATATCAAAACCAGCTCCTTTATCTTAATTAAAAATATTGCTGCTCTTGTAGCACCATTGGCTTTCTAATAGTACTCAACATTTTTTCTCATTACCAGTGACTGATATATTTCAAACATTGATTTCTACTAATTTTGGGTTAGTTTTTCTTATGGCTAATGGAAATATTTTATCATAGGAACAGAACAAATGGGTGATGACTTTCACATGAATGCTGTTGATTTCATAGTACACAGTTCTCGACAATGCCACAGATTGGTTGACCTAAAGAAGGTGTCTGATAACAGAGTTGAACGTCAGCTAAAAGATCAGAAACGGAGTGCAGGTTTTTTTTCAATCTGAAAGACTCTGCTAAGCCTTACCTGCACATCCAGACTGCCACGTCGTCTGGATCTAGCTCTAGGAATCTTTTCCTGCTCTCGAAGCCTCCTCAGCAACCAATAACATCCAAGTCTCTTGCACAATCATCTTTATTAGGGACACTTTCCTGTTTTTAACTAGCTGCAACCACACCCACCCCAGACACAGGACAAAAATAAGTTACCATAATGGTGAGATTGTGAAAAGAACAATAAGATCAAATTAATTGAGTCTGTACCATAGTAGAAAACAGAACACCTTGCAGAGAGAAAAAAATTATGTGGAGTTAATAATTCAAATCATTCATTTCAAAGAATTATTTTTTTGTGCGTGTTTTTACAGCAGTGGCTTGTTTTTAATGGACAGTAGACTGACCGGAAAGTGGGTATGAGAAGGGGAGAGAGGTGCAGGAAAGGACCACAGGTTTGATTTGAACCCTGGTCGCACGCTTCAAGGACTAAGAAGGTATCCATGCTTGGGTTGTATGCGCTAACCACTGCGCTACCAAAGCACGCCCCAAAATTAAAATTTCACTCCCAAAAAATATTAAATATCATTGCAGAAAGGACCTTCTGTAGTGGTCTGTCTGCACCGAATCTGGAGAAGCTTTTGACAGAAGACACTTTGTTGTTTAAAAATCCCTTGAAGAGGATATTCAGTGTTGTCCATGATCTTCTTCACTTTATGAAGAATTCTTCTTTGTGAAATCATCTCTAGCGGTTCTAGAGGAGTTCCTAGAACAGAGAATGCCTCTTTTATCAGCTTGTTGAGCTTTTTTTTTTTACCGTAGGTAATTTGCCCTGATGCTGTAACCCCAGCGGATGATGGCAGAAGAGATTACAGTCTCCACAACCGACTAATAGAAGATATGTAGCATCATGCTATATGACCTACCAAGATATTTATACTCCCATACCACCTCCACTTCTTTTCCCATGATGCTAACAGGATTCAGCTTTTTCCAGTTTCTTCTAAAATCTACAAACATCTCCCTTGCTTTGTTGACATTCAGAATCAGATGATTGTTTCCACACCATGCCACAGATTGTTTCACCAGCTCCCAGTACTCAGCTTCTTGTCCATCTCTAATGTGCCCAACTACTGCAGTCATGTCAGGGCAACAGTGTTGTCTCATGCAGGAGTTTGCCCTTCAATCGGAGAGTTGTCGATTCGAGCCCTGGCTCCGGCTTGCAGTGTCGTTGTGTCATTGGGCAAGACACTTCAAGTGCATTGCCTACTGATGGTGGTCAGAAGGCCTGTTGGCGCCAGTGTACAGCAGCCTCGCTTCTGTCAATGAGTCCCAGGGAATGACTGAATGTAGTGTAAAGCGCTTTGGTCAAGTCTTCTGACTTCAAAAAGTCCTATACAAGTACATGCCATTTACCATTTTTATATTTCTGCAATTGACCTGACCCTGTCTGGTACTGGAAGTCAGGGGCATATGAAAAAGAAATAGTAAGAATATAGTCCCCTGTGATTCTCCTACTGACTACTAGACAGCTGACCCTTCAGTCCACCAAACTGTGGTCTGTTTGTCAGGTAGTCTTTGATCCTACCGATTATTGATACCTCAATCTGGGTCTTCTGGGTTATAATTTGCCCTAAGATCACAAGAAACATTAGTTCAACCCAACCTAATCCTAAAACGAAGCTCCATATCCTTAATCATCCTTTTATCCAATTCCTATTGTATACCTCCTACCTGAACCCTTTTAACCACAGGGCACCATACTTTCACTTTACACAGTGCCCTAACCCTAAACCTCTTTAAAAATTCCCTGTACACCAACTCCCATTATCTAACACCTACCCTGACCTCTTTAACTGTGCTACTGTCACACCATAAGGTCACATAACATTATTTCCTCCCTCACTAGCTTAAACCTAAACCACACCCCTTTAATTGTCCTTTTTTGTATACCTTTTACCCTGACCCATTTTAAATTACCCTAATGCCCTAAACCTTAAATCTTTTAAAACTCCCTGTAGACCAACTCCCACAATTTAGCACCTACCCTAACCCCTTTAACTTAACCTAAGGTCACAGATTACCCCACATATTCCCATATAGAGCTCTAAATCTAAAACCATATTCCCACAACATTGCCAAACCTTAACCCTCCCCTCCATTTAACACACACTTCAAGATGTAACCAACAGCCAGACACCTAGAACTAAAACCTAATCCACCCCAAAGCCTTTACACGGCAAGAGAATGCTACTAATGATTGGTGGTGATCTCGAGTTGAGTGTGTATTCCTTTGATCTTCATCCAACTCTGGGGAAGCCATGGGGTGGCAGGGGTAGGTCATTGTGTTAACTCTAACCTAGCCTCTATTCACACATTTGTCCTAAACCTAAACCCCACCGCAAGAGAAGAACCTTTCCTCATGGGGACAGTCACGGGTCCCCCCAAGTACCTATGAGTCCCCAAAATGTAACATATTCCTGCACATTAGGACCAGCCTTTGCCCCCCCTAGGGCCTGTTGGTCCTCCTAGGGTTAGTAAATATATCAAAAATGATCCGAAATAGTTAGCATTAACAACAAATACGCACAAGCACAAACACTCAGAAGATAGAAAAAAATATTGTTCAGGTTGTCTCTGCTAATCAGTGATTTCTTTATAGAACATACCCTTTTCCCTCACATGCAACCTGTCAGAATAATTATATTAAAGAATTAAATGATCCCCGAAATGGATACCTCCAAAAAAGACACTAGGGGAGGGCTGTCTAGTTTTGCCATTTTCATTCAGAAAATACGGGGCAGTCGTTACAACTAAAATAGGACAACAGCTCTAACTGCTGTTGGGTCTGTACCTGCAGTCAATTATTTTCAAAGGGAAATCACTGTATTGTTAAATCAATGTTAATGTGTTTAAATGTTTTTCAATAAAATATAGCCCATACTGGTAAATATAAGAGGGTATGATAGAGAATAATGAAATTATGGTCTGTATGAATAGAAAATGGTCTATTGTGTTAAAGAGATTGATTGAAACACAAGTGATCATAATTCTCAGGTTCTGATTGGAAAAAAAGCGCCTGACTGAGACAATAAATGTTTTTAAATTATACTGAAAATACCCCCATAGTAGTATCAGTAGAAATTGAAATGAAGCTGGGAGCCAGCATTGGAGCCACAGTGAATGCCAATGTTAGACTTCTATTTAGGCCAAGGGGATCCACCATGGTGAAGTTAGTTTGTATTAATGATGATTTTCAGATACTCAAAAGCAGACATTTCAATCATTTCAATCATCATCCTAAATGCTATAAAAGGTTTATGTTATTTAAACAAATGACAATAATAAGAAGAACACATTTTCTCCAGGACAATGTCAAATCAATTTAATCCCTGAATATATGTATTTGTGTCTGTCTGTCTCTTGGGGACTTTGGAAACTTGTCTCAAAATGTCTAAAATTGTAACTCTAGCAGCCTCGGTTTGGTTGAAATTGCGTTCAATTTCCTATTACATGGGCCTGCAATCTTTCTGCATGGCTCTCTTTGTCTCTTACACCATCTCTTATTCGCCTTCAGGTGTGAATGTGCCGTACGGTTTGCCTCAAGACTACAGAACAGCCTGACCCCCCTGCAATTCTGATGGACAAGCATAGAAATACAAAATAGTGTAGAGAAAGAAAATAGATGATTGGATGTTCATTCCACATTTTTAAATGATATAAGGACATTTTTGCCGTTTAAACTTTTTTTTATTAAGATTAAACAGATGATACACAGAAAGATTTTTTTAAATAATTTTATTTAGAAAGACCAAACTTAATATTTCTAATAAATTACCTAAAGGGAGGGTAATAGATTTGTCAAATGAATTAAACTTTTTGGTGAAAAGGAAAACTTGGCAGCAATGACACTGTTTCTGTAAGTTAAATTGAAATGGAAGACAACAGTGGCACCAACAAGAGCAGCACGATGGGACTTCCACTGTTGGCGCTGTTGCAGAAGTCCCCCTGACAGCAGCTAATCTTTAATCCTGTTAACTGTTCTACCAGTAAAATTGATTTATCAGAGCACAGCACCTTGGACACACAGCCCTTCAGTGTTGAACTTGGTCCACTATCACCTACTGAAAAAAAGAATATGCATTGATCACGTGAGGAATATGCTTGAATCTGTTTGCAACAATCTGCTGAAGATAATTATGAAGTAAAAACCTGTTTGCCTCTTACCTTTTGATTCAGCACAGTAGTCTTCATCCCCATTACAAGTAAGTGTTTTATTGCAAGTGTGTGAATCACAGGTAAAGCACTTTTTGCCATTTGGAATGGCGTTGTAAACAGCATCTAAGACACATTCAAACAAGAATTACAGAATTACAACATATAGACATATAATTTCTGTGACATTAACTTGGTCTTACACATTTCTACATACATTACCTAAAGTGATCTAAATTTAATTATTAAAAGCTTGCAATTTGTATTCACAGTACTGCAAATATTTAAAAATAGATAAAAATGACCATTGTGAAATAACTTACCAGGATATTGGTTGTTACAGAGCTCTGTAGAGCAGCATGTGCTGTTTAGCACACCTTTGGTATGTCCAAAGTTGAGGGTCCCCTCAAAACATTCTTCCGGCAGAGAGCAACCTCTGTATGGGATATTAGCAAGTACCCCAAAATCTACAAAAAAGAACAAATATTTCAAGCATTGTGGTGCCAAATGAGGAACCCAAAACAACAAAAACTATAAAATGATGTACCATAGAATGTGTATACTCTGCCTGCTATACAGTGATGGTTCTGTGTGGAACATGCTGCTGTTCCCTGTTCAGTACAGCCGTTAGAGAAACCGTCCCGTACACACTCATGACATGTCAGGGTGTCAGCTAATTCAGGCAAGGAGGAAATGCACTTTAACTGATCAAAATGTTTGAAGTAAACAATGTTATTACATTATTTCTAAATATCAAAGTTCTTGAAAAGCAACAAAATGGCTGACTCAGTAGAAAGGAAGAGAATTAGTAACAATAAAAAGCTTTTAAACATTAATAGAACTGAGATCAGTTATTTTGGTTTGTACAAGAATAACCACTGGAAAGCAAAATTTATTTTATTATTTTTTTATTTATTTTTATTATTTTTAGCGAAATTTAACAAAACTGCACTAAATAAAACAAAATAGGATTAATGTTAATATAAGAAATGTAAAGAACTTGCCTTTTGGGATAAACAACAGCCCAAGAGTCAATGTAAAGAGAAACATTTTGCTGCTGGTACAGAGGCAAATTATACTTTGGTCAGTAAAGAACACATCTGTACATGACGCTAATCTAGGAAGGGCTCGTCTCTTAGTCTTAGACCACTCCTTTTGTTCACAATTCCAGTCTGTGATTAATGTCAAATCCCTACATTTATTCCATTTCCATTTATTCACAAATCAAAACACAAATAAGTGGGCATTACTCTAAAGGACATCACTAATACATATGTGAACAAAACCCAGTTTGTCAATACATACTAAATGTGGAATAAATACATATATAGTATATACTGTATATGGTGTCAGGACTCTGCTGCCTCTGCCTTCTCCACAGGTGTTCCTGGTTGACTGATTGGTGCTCGCACACCAGCAGGTTGTTTCTGCACCACCGGGGTGCTCTATAAGAACTGCGTTCAGACAACGGGAGGACGCCTGAGTGTTACCATAGTGGTATGCTAAAACTACCACGGTCTCTAGCCTTCACAAGCTCTTGTGTAACCTGTCTTACCTCTGTGTCTCCCAGGTACCCCCTTGTGTTCTGATCCCTCTCATGGTGGATTCCTTTGAGTGGTTCCCCCGGTTCCTTCCGAGTCGGTTCCCCTCACTGGTCCCCCCACCCTCACGGACCTCCTTCAGGTTTCCCCCGCTGTTCTGGTTCCCTGGATCTCCCTGGTGCTGCTCGGACCCTCTCTGGCTTCAGCTCTCTGGTCACCTGGACGATCGCCTTCTCCTCCTCCAGGCAAGCTTAGAGTCCAACCCGCCATCTCCCCGGTTCGGCTTTCCCCGCTCTGAGGTAAGCGTTCGTCCAGCTGTACATTCCTCTCTGCTCTGTCCCTGGTTAACCGCCCTTCTCATTCCCTTAGACGTTCCTTGGTTCCGGCTCCCTGTGCTGAGCTTCGGTCTGCGGTTGCAGAATCCCCTTTCGTTCTGTTTTTTCAAATAAAACCCTCAAAGATCTGCCTGTTTCCGAGTGTATTCAGCATGTGGGCCAAACACGTCAAGCCAAACATGACAGAAGAACACTCAGGCCAGTCAGACCCAGCGAGTCCACTCGGAAACGCTGTAACAGCTCAACAGGATCAGATTCGAGGTTTAGAAGCTTCTGTTTTTGGTTTACAGGATCAGTTACAGGGTTTAGCAGCCCAGATGAGCCAGTTTGTTAGCATGTTTAATGCTGGTCTGCAGCCAGCAGCTTCCGCGTCCCCTGACCCCTCCCCCGAGGCCGCGTCAGTCATGACGTCACCGGACGTCCCCGAGAACTCCTCCCCAACTCCTGAGAAATTCTCCGGTGAGGCTGGAGATTGTGGAGGTTTCTTATTTCAGTGTTCTCTAGTGTTTAATCGGTCCCCTCGAACCTTTGCCCTTGATCATGCCAGGATCTCTTTTATTTTACGGCTTTTATCGGGCCGAGCCCTTAAATGGGCTTAATCTCGTTTCCCTGATTGTCAGCATTTCGGCTGTACGTTTAATGAATTTATTTCTGAGTTTAAGATGGTTTTTGCTGCTGAGTCTGATGAGGCTCAGGACTCTATGCGGCTTCTCTTCTTACGACAGCGGGGCAGACGGGTAGCTGACTACGCTATCGAGTTTCGTACGGTGGCGGCGGCGGCTGGCTGGGAACAGCGAGCTTTAAGATCTGTTTTCCTGTAGTCTTTAGATGAGTCCCTTAAGGACAAACTGGCTCGCCTTGAACAGCCGGTCACGCTAGACGAACTCATCGCGCTAGCTGTGCGCTTAGATAACCGCTTACGGGCACGGGGTAAGAGTCGCTCCGATAGGCCACCTGTTTTTCGGCCAGCTCCTTCCGAGCGGCTACCGGCTAGACCCGCTGCAGCACCTCCTTCTCCCCCAGAGCCCATGCAATTAGGCTGACTCTGGATGAACGACAGCAACGCATGAGCTCTAGGCTCTGCATCTATTGTGCTTCTCCTGCGTATTTCATCAGGGATTGCCCTGAGCGCCCAAAAGACCAGGTCCGTCGGTTTTAGCGGAGAGATTGACGGACCAACCTAAGTTTCCTTTTTCTTCTCCTCCGCGACTCTGCTTACCTGCAGCTATTGTCTCTGGTCGGGACACGTTCCAACTGTCCGCTCTAGTTGATTCTGGGTGTGATTTTAACCTGATCGATCGCTCCTTAGTTCTCCAAATTAAAATTGAGACGGTTCCGTTAGATTCTCCCCTCCAGGTTTCGGCCCTGGACGGGGGAGAACTCCCCCGCATCACCCACAGAACGGTTCCCCTGGAACTTGTTGTTTCAGGTAATCACAGAGAGCTTTTCTCCTTTTTCGTTTTTCCCGTTAAGCAGGCTCCTCTAGTACTTGGTTTATCATGGTTACAGTGCCACAACCCTCACATTGACTGAGCTGACCGACGGGTGGAAGCTTGGTCGTCCAGTTGCCATGCCAACTGCCTTCAATCGGCTGTTCCCTCCTCTCAGGCCCCCCCCGCGCCTGGCACTCGGGTAGATCCCGATGTTCTGAAACTGGCGCAGGCTAGCTCGCTCCCTCCACATCGCCCTAACGACTGCGCTATAGACCTCCTTCCGGGTGCCCCGTTGCGTCCAGTCGCCTTTACAATATTTCTCTGGGAGAACGTCAAGCCCTAGAGAAATATATTAGGGAGTCACTTTCTGCGGGGTTAATTCGCACGTCATCCTCACCACTTGGGACAGGGTTCTTTTTCGTGTCTAAGAAGGACGGTTCCCTCCGTCCCTGTATTGATTATCGGGGCTTAAACGCTATCACTGTTAAAGACAAGTACCCCCTCCCACTAATCTCCTCCGCCTCTGAGCCGGTTCAGTCAGCCACTATCTTCACTAAGCTGGACTTACGTAACGCTTACCACTTAGTGCGGATCCGCCGGGGAGATGAGTGGAAGACAGCCTTCAAGACTCCCCTCGGGCATTTTGAGTGCCAGGTAATGCCTTTCGGTCTGTGCAATGCCCCGGCTGTCTTCCAAGCTCAGGTAAATGACGTCTTACGTGACTACCTCAACATCTTTGTGTTTGTCTACATTGACGATATCCTTATCTACTCACGAAACCCAACTGAACACTACAAGCATGTCCGACTGGTCCTCCAACGCCTGTTGGAAAATAAGCTTTACGTCAAGGCTGAGAAGTGTGAGTTTCACAAGCCCTCCATTGCCTTCCTGGGACTCATCCTGGAAGGGGGTAGGGTATGATCTGACCCCGATAAGATCAAGGCAGTGCTCGACTGGCCTGTACCCGAGACCCGAAAGGAGCTTCAGCGCTTCTTGGGGTTCGCCAATTTTTACAGACGCTTTATTAGGGGTTAGTCAGATCGCCGCCCCCCTCCACGCTCTCACCTCTGTCAAGGTCACCTTCTCCTGGAACTCCAAGGCCGACTCGGCGTTCGCCGATCTCAAGTCCCGTTTCTCCCAGGCACCCATCCTGATCTACCACGACCCACTGAAGCAATTCATTGTTGAGATCGATGCCTCCGACACTGGTGTGGGAGCCGTTTTGTCCCAAGTATTGGATCAGGATCAGAAGCTTCACCCGTGCGCCTTCTTCTCCAGGCGTCTGACTCCTGCCGAAAGAAACTATGACGTCGGAGACCGGGAGCTGTTAGCCATCAAGCTCGCTTTGGAGGAGTGGCTAGAGGGGTCTGAGCAACCAGTTCTTATTTGGACCGACCATAAGAACTTGGCCTACATCCAGATTGCTAAGCGGCTAAACCCCCGGCAGGCCAGCTGGTCCCGCTTCTTCTCCCGGTTCAACCTGACAATCTCCTACCGCCCTGGTTCTAAGAACCTGAAGCCCGACGCCTTGTCCCATCTCTACTCTCCCCCCGACTCCATGAAGGAACCGGTCGCAATCCTGCCCCCCTCCTGTGTGCTCGGCGCTCTCCAGTGGGAGGTACAGGACCTCATTACCCAAGCACTCCCATCTGACCCTGACCCCGGAACCGGTCCTCCTAATCGCACCTATGTGCCCTCCTCAGTCAGATCCTGTGTTATCCAATGGGCTCATGCCGAGAAGTTTTCCGCACACCCTGGCATTCATCGCACCCGAACGCTCCTCACCCGCAGTTTCTGGTAGCCCACTATGTCCCAGGACATCAAACAGTTCGTTCTCTCTTGTCCTATTTGTGCTCAAAATAAACCCTCCAACAGACCACCATCCGGCCTCCTCCAGCCCCTGCCCACCCCTGAACGTCCCTGGTCCCATATAGCCCTGGATTTTATCACCGGTCTCCCTTCCTCACAAGGTATGACAGTAATCCTCACAGTTGTCGATCGGTTTTCCAAGGCCTGTCACCTCATTCCCCTCCGGAAACTCCCCTCTGCTTTCCTCACGGCCCAGCTCCTGGTGAAACATGTTTTCCGCCTCCATAGTATCCCACAAGAGATTCTGTCTGACCGTGGTCCCCAGTTCATCTCGCGGGTGTGGAAGGAGTTTGCTGTGGCCCTTGGTGCCCGGTACACTCTGACCTCCGGCTACCAACCGCAGACCAACGGTCAGACAGAGCAGATGAACCAGGAGCTGGAGACCGCCCTCCGTTGCCTCACCTCCAAGAACCCCACGGACTGGAACAAGTACCTCCCCTGGATTGAGTATGCCCATAACAGTCACATCTCCACTGCTACCGGTCACTCCCCCTTTGAGATCTCCCTTGGTTATCAGCCCCCACTTCTACCCGACAACATTAGGCTGATCGCTGTGCCTTCCGTCCAGGACCACATCAACCGTTGCAAACACTTTTGGACCCAGACCATACAAGCTCTCCAAGACACTGCTGAACAGAATCGCAGATTCGCTGACCGGAGGCGGGTCCCTTGTTTCTTGTTAAAACAAAGAAGCAAATGACCCCAGATGTTTGCAGTAAATTAGGTAAAGTTTTAGGCAGTGTCAGAGATGGCTTTTGGTTGGAGGACCGAGGGCCAGCCCTTTTTGAATGGATTAGATACAAGAGGATAAAGCTTTCTAAATAGAAGTTACAGATCAGATTTGCCCTTGCAACTCTCCAAAGATGTCTCTGTACTCTTTGCTTTCTTTCCTCCTATGTCAGGTAATGGAATGTATGTCTCTGTTGTTCTGCAGTTTTGTTGTTAATTCATAAGCTGTTTTTT